CTGTGAAGAACAACTTGTTGTTGGCCCCTGCCATTGGCAGGATAATGAAGCCCTGGAGTCCTGTATAGTACTCTAAATAATTTAGACCCCGGACCGAAATTATCTCATGTGTTCTGACATAAAAAACAACCTATTGTCTCCCAGATCCTGGCCTTCATGATCCGATGGGATTTCACATTCGAAACAATTGTCCCAGGCAGTTCCCGACTTCGGCTTCAGGCAATTTCGGTTCTTCGTGTGTCCGACAAAACTTTCGCCTCACTGACGTGTACATGCGTATATATATATATATGTACATATCTGTGTTAAAAGAAACACCCGTATGCATACATACATATATATATACACATGTACTAGAACCATCGCGCGCGCTTCGCGCGCGCTCAGGTTCTAGCAGGCCCCAGGCCTTGACGAATTCACTGCTGCTCCACTGAAGTAGTGGATCACAGTCCACGCATACCAATCTGCATTCCGAAAGGCCTTCGAGGAAAATTGTTGTGTAGGGGGGCGGAGGCCGTATGAATCGGGTTCCCAGAAGGCCTTCTGGGAGCATGGGTTTGGGGCGTCTTGGGGAGCCTGTTGGGGCGTGCCGTCGTCGTGGTCGTCGTCGTCGTAATGGTCGTCGTCGCCTATTGGGGCGCGCCGTCGTCGTCGTCGTCGTCGTCGTCGTCGTCGTCGTCGTCGTCGTCGTCGTCGTCGTCGTCGTCGTCGTCGTCGTCGTCGTCGTCGTCGTCGTCGTCGTCGTCGTTTCGTCGTCGTCGTCGATTCAAGAGGGCACTTGGGGCAATTTTGTGCGAAACGATCTGCGGAGGGCCGCGAGAAGGCGATCAGTCATGTTCCCAATCAACTTCCCAGACAGCTCTCCTGTAGCATGATGGTACTTCGAAGCCTCCGGAGACTCGCGGGCCCATAATGAACCATGTCCCCGGAAAGCTTTCTGGGGACATGGTTTGTTGGGGTGTGTTGGGGGGTCTCTTGGGCGTTCCCTGGGGGCCCCTTGGAGGCCTCCGGGAACTCTCGGGCTCATGATGAACCATGTCCCCGGAAGGTTTTCTGGGGACATGATTTCTTGGGGTGTGTTAGGGGGCCTCTTGGGGGGTCTCTTGGGGCTTCCTGGGGGTCTCTTGGGCGCCTCACGGGGCTTCGTGGGAGCCTCTTGGTGGCCTCCGGGGGCCCACAGGCGGCCTCGAGGGCCAGAGACATCGAAATATCGGTTGGCGGTCCCCCTCTGGGCCATCTCTTGGGGAGCTCTTGGGGCACAGTTGGGTTGTCTGGGGAGCCTCCTGGGCCGTCTTGGGGCCCTCTTCGGGGCCTCCTGGGCCGTCTTGGAGCGATCTGAAGGGCCTCCGAGCGAGGCCGTGAGGGAGCGCCGTCTCCGAGCGAGGCCTCCGAGCGAGCAGGGAAAGCGATAAAGCCTAAATCTTTCAAAAACCATAGGAAAATTAATGAATCCTGCCTCCCAGGGCCCTCTTGGGGAGCCTCTTGAGTCCGTCCTGGAGCTTGTTCGAGTCCTCGTCGGCCGTCTTGAGGGCAGCTTGGGCGTCTTCGGGGCCTCTTGGGACCGTCTAGGGCCCTCTCGGGACCTCCATTAGCCTGTCGTGGCCTGCTTCGGGGCGGGCCCGGGCCGCCTCGGGACCCCTCTGGGCCTTCTTTTGGCGCGCTCTTGGGGCACAGTTGGGTTGTCTGGGGAGCATCCTGGGCCGTCTTGGGGCCCTCGTCGGGGCCTCGTGGGCCTTCTTGGAGCGATCTGAAAGTCCTCCGAGGCCGTGAGGGAACGCTGGAAAGCGGGAAAAGCGAGAACGCCAAAATCCAAAACCCTCGGAAAACGAGTGAATCTTGCCTTCCAGGGCCCTCTTGGGGAGCCTCTTGAGTCCGTCCTGGAGCTTGTTGGAGTCCTCGTCATCTGTCTTGAGGGCATCTTGGGCGTCTTCGGGGCCTCGTGGGACCGTCTTGTCTTGGGTCCTCTCGGGACCCCCTTAGCCTGTCGTGACCTCCTTCGGGGCGGGCTCGGGCCGCCTCGGGAGCTCTGGACCCCCCCCCGCAACCCCTGGTGGGCACCGATGGGGGGAACAGGCAGCGGCCCGCCCCCCCCCCCCGGGCCTACTCCGAGATAGAGAATCATGGTCCCGGGAAGCTTTCTGGGAGCATGATTGGTTCGGCTCTCTAAGAGGGGGGGCCTCTGGGGGCTTACCGAGGAGCGCCTTTTGGCCTTGTCGGCAAGCCTATTGGAAACATGGTTGGGGCGGTGGGCGGAAGCCCAATGAATCATGTTCCCGGAAAGCTATCTGGGAAATACGGTTTACCGAAGTGTCTTGGGGTCCTGCAGGGGGCTTCCCTGGGGGTCCCTCAGGGGCCTATTGGGGCTTCCTGGGGGCCTCTTGGGAGCCTCACGGGGCTTCTTGGGAGCCTCTTGATGGCCTCCGGGGGCGTCCTAAAAGCCTCTCAGGCCAGAGACCTCGAAATGTCGCGCTCTTCGGGCCCTCTTGGGTCGCTCTTGGGGCTCTCTCGGGGCGCTCTCGAGGCCCTCTTGACTTATCTGGGGAGCCTCCTGGGCCGTCTCTGGGCTTTCTTGGGAGCCTCTTCGGCCGTCTTGGAGCGATCTGAAGGGCCTCTGACGCGGTCCGGGACCGTGGGGAGGGGGAACATGGGAGAGCGCAAGAATGCTTCAAAAACCATTGGAAAATACATGATTCGCGGCTTCTGGGGCCCTTTTGGAGGGGCCTCTGGAAGCGCTCCTGGAGCGTTTTGGCGGCGTCGTCGGCCGTCCTGAGGCCATCTTCGGCGTGTCCGGGGCCTCTGGGGGCTGTCTTTGGGCGTCCTGGGAACCCAGGAATCATATTCCAGGAGAAGCTTCCGGGAACATGATTTCGAACGAGGCACTCTTGGGCCTCCCTGAGGCCGTCTTGGGGGCCTCCTGGGCCCGCTTCGGGGCCTCTTGGGATGTTTCGGGGAGTTCCGTGAGCCCCACAGGACGACCCTGTTGGGCCGTCTTGGGCCCTCTTGGGTCTCTCTTGGGCTGTCTTGGGGCTCCTCGGGGGCGTCTGGGGCACTGCGAAGACAAAGCAAGGGAGTATGCTGAATACGTACGTTTTACTACGAGGACGGGCTGATTTTTGCTTTTTGAAGGCCCTCTTGGGGCCCTCTTCGGCCATCTTGAAGCCATCTCGGGCCCTCTTGGGCCTCGCTGAGGCCGTGCTGGGGCCCTCCTAGGGGGCCCTGGGAACCCGGAAATCATGATTTCGAACGAGGCCCTCTTGGGCCTCCCTGGGGCCGTCTTGGGGGCCTCCTGGGCCCGCTTCGGGGCCTCTTGGGCTGTCTTGGGGGGGTTCCGTGAGCCCCACAGGCCGATCCTTTTGGGCCGTCGTGGGCCCTCTTGGGGCCCTCTTGGGTCTTTCTTGGGCTGTCTTGGGGCTCCTCGGGGGCGTCTGGGGCACTGCGAAGACGAAACCAGCGAGTATGCTAAAAATGTACGTTTTACGTAGGACATGGGCCGATGTTTGCCTCTTGGAAGCCCTCTCGGGGCCCACTTCGGCCATCTTCAAGCCATCTCGGGCCATCTGGGGCCTCGCTGAGGCTGTCTTGAGGGCCTCTTGGGCGTCCTCGGAACCCGGAAATCATGTTCCCTTCCGGGAACATGATTGCGAGCGAGGCCCTCTTGGGCCTCCCTGAGGCCGTCTTGGGGGCCTCCTGGGCCGGCTTCGGGGCCTCTTGGGCCGTCTCGGGGGGTTCCGTGAGCCCCACAAGACGACCCTTTTTGCGGGGGCGTCTGGGGCACTGTGAAGACGAGAAGCCAGCGAGTATGCCGAGAATGTCCGATTTACGGAGGAAATGGGCAGATGTTTGCCTCTTGAAGTCCCTCTTGGGGCCCTCACGGGCCCTGTTGGGGCGCTCTTGGGCGTCTTCGGGGCCTCTTCAAGCTTTCTTGGCCATCTGTACGGCCCGCGTGGCCTGTCGTGGGCAATTTGGAAGCGGCCCGGGGCAGTCCCAGGGGGTCTGTGACCCCCAAAAGGTTCGGGGGGACGACCATGGGGGATGACGGCACCGATTTCCCCCCCCCCCCCCCACACAGCCTACTCTGATATATGTGTATATATATACATATATATACATATATATATACACATTTATATATAAATATAGATACATACACACATACATACATAATACATACATACATACATACATACATACATACATACATACATACATACATACATGCATGCATGCATGCATGCATGCATGCATACATACATACATACATACATACATACATACATACATACATACACTCATACATACATACATACATACATACATACATACATGCATGCATGCATGCATGCATGCATACAGACAGACAGACAGACAGACAGACAGACAGACAGACAGACAGACAGACATACAGACATACAGACATACAGACATACAGACATACAGACATACAGACTGACAGACAGACAGACAGACAGACAGACAGACATACGTACATACATGCAGGCAGGCATACATACATACATATATGTGCACATACATGCGTGTACGTGCACGCACATGTGTATAACCCAATGTATGTACTTATATGGCGTAGAACAGATCCCAGATCCAAAGCGCGACGCTGGATCCAATTTCTGATTCCCGGATCTGGGTTTTGGTTCCGATCGGTCGGATGAGGATTCTGGATCCTGCGCCCCTCTGGGCAGGAGCCATGTGGAGAGAGGAGGAGAAGAGACGGATGAGGAGAGGACGGGAAGGATGAGGACATGGACAAGGTGGGCGAGAGCGAAAAGGGAAAAGCGACAAGCGGCGAACATAATTATCCATGTCCATGCCCTGGCGTCTGAACACCTGTGCACGATTCCATGGATACGCGATCCCATTGGTACGTTTCGAAGCGGTGCATCCACGCAAATCCGCCCTGCGCCCACACGGCGAGGCCGTGGATATGATTCCCGCCCACGAGAACAAAAACGAGCGGGGGAGGGGAGGGGCAGGACTGCGGGCAGAAAACCACCCGCACAAGAGGCAGCCCGACGAGCGCCAGCTGCGGGCGAGCAAGCGGCGCCAAGCAGCACCGCGACGAGCAGAAGCAGGCGAGCAGGCGCCCGCTCTGCGTGCTGTCGGCGTGGCCCGTCCCCCTCCGCGCGCAGGGGGCGGGCGAGGAGGCCTTTTCTGCAGCCCGGGCCGCGCCGGTCGCTGCTCTCCTCACAGCCTGGACCGGCCGGGGCGGGGCCCGAACAGCTGGGAGCCCACCCGCACAGAGGTCGAGCCCTCGCGGATGGCGTTCTCGTAGTCGTTGCTCATGCCCATGCTGAGCTCCAGCGAGGCCTCCCCCACGCCCAGTGCCGCGGCCGCCTCGGCGCAGCACCGGCGCAGCGTCTCGAAGTCCTCGGCCCGGCAGCCGCTGTAGTCTGGCGCCCCGATGGTCATGAAGCCCGCGAGCTCCTGTGGGGATGGCCCACGCGGACGCCCCACGGAGAGCGTAGAGTTGTTTCTTTTCTCGCGATCACGGCCGTCATCGGCCTCTGCCGCCCCTCCAGGTAGTGGACATCACGATTCGTGCTGACCTGCAAGCTGTCTTTGGCTACTCCTGGACACTCCCAGACGGCGCCGACGCGAAACGTGATAAGGCCCAGCATCGCTGGGGGACCCAAAGAGGCTCTCCAGGGCGGCGTGCTCCAAAAGACGTGGACCCAATTCGCCGAATCGTGGACCCTGTTCGATCGCTGGGACCTGTTCGCCGGGACCCCCGTTCGCCGGGACCCTGTTCGCCGGGACCCTGTTCGCCGGGGCCCTCAATTCGCCTGTCGCGCCCGCCGTCGCCGTCTCCGCCGCCGCCTCCGTCGCCGTGGTCGCCGTCGCCGTCCCCGTCGCGAGGGTGAAAGGAGCGAGGATGAACGGAGCGAGGATGAAAGGAGTGAGGAGGAGGAGGAGGAGGAGGAGGAGGAGGAGGAGGAGGAGGAGCGGACCCAAACGGGCGGGTCGGGCCGGGCGGGCGGACCACGGGCGGGCCAGGTCGGGCGGGCGGGCCCTGGCGGGCGGGTCGGGTTGGGCGGGCGGGCACTGCACTGCGGGGCACACACGAGCGAGCGCGCGTGAATCCCAACGGGCGGGCGGACCCTAACAGGCGGGTCGGGTCGGGCGGCGGGAGCGACGACGGTGACGACGAGACGACGACGAGGCGACGACGAGACGGAGGCAGTCACGGCGACGGCGACGAGAACGAGGACGAGGGCGGCGGCGAGCAGGGAGGCGGCGAACGGGGCCTCGGGCGAAGAGGGCGGCGGCGAACAGGGCCGGGGCGAAGAGGGCCGGGGGCGAAGAGGGCGGCGGCGAGGAGTGCTGGGGGCGAAGAGGGCGGCGGCGAGCAGGGTCTCCGCCCCGAAAGGGGGCCCGGCAGCGGCGCGCCCCAAGCGAGGCCGGGCCCTCTGGGAGCCCAGGGCGGGAGGGCCCGAGTGACTACCTACCAGACCACCCCAACCCAACACGAAGGACCGAATTTTGCCCGAACTTCGGGTTGGGGGGGGTGCGGGTTCCATGTGCTTTTTCAGTGTTCCCCGACCCCCCCCCACTGGAAATCGAAGATCAATTTGGGCCTTCGGGTTGGGTTGGGGTGGCTCGGTGGGTGGTGACCGAGGGCACCTCGCCAGGGTGCGCGTCGGGCAGGCGGGTCGGCAGAACTGGGCCTGGTCCGGGCAGGCACGGCCCCGAACGGGGCCCGGGTCTGGGGAAGCCCTGGGGCCGCTGCCTGGGGGCGGCCCCCGTGTCAGGAGAGCAGCATCACGAGTGTGGCCACTGGGCGGGCCCGATCGGGGAGAAGCGGGGCAAACCTGACTCGGCAGTCACCGCCCCGTGTCCTGATCGCTCGGGGCTCTCAGCGTTCGTTCTGGCGTGCATCCCCAGACCTCCTGTGTCCTGGCATTCAGCGCACGAGTTCCCCAGACTGGACCCCTCGATCTCCTCTCGGGGGACCTTTCTGTGAACCTTGGACTGACTTGTGACTGCCCTGGAACCCAAAGGACGGCCCCAGGAAGCCGAACCTGGCAAGAAACCTCGCTCTTGCCTGGCTCAAGACAGTTGGGACGTCTCGGCAAAAGCCGTGCACGAAGCCGTCGCCCCACCGTTTTTGCGCGGCATGCCTCAGGCTGGGCCGAGCTGCGAGAGGGCCCACAGGGCCCGAGAAGCCGGGCGAGAACGCCAAGCTTTTGGAAACACCACCGCGACGCCAGGATTTCAGGCAACGCCCGGGAACAGCTCGGAAAACTCGGGACTGCTCACCTGAAGGAGAACCAAAAAACAGGCCCGCATTCCCAGACAGCTCTCTCTCTCTCTCTCTCTCTCTCTCCAAAATCTGATCGGGTTTTAAGCCAGAAACCGGCAGCGCAGAGTACCCCTGGAAGCTCTTCCTGGCGCCGGCCCGGCAGCGTCGCCGCAAGCTGCTTGAAACCGCAGCGTTGTTCTGGCAAGCGTTGTCCTGCTCCTTCCAAGTGCGTCTCCGAGGAG